CTTTTTTCTTTTGGTTGAAGAAGAAATTGGAGAAACTTTAATCAATGTCGATGTGTTCCTACATGCCTAACACTTCTCTCCTTTTTTAATATACTAATAAGTCTTATAATCCTTACAATGGATTGTGGGCTCAGGATGTCTTTGTTTACACCTGACTTCTCCTTGGCAACCACAGAGCAAATCTACAAGACTCCAGATGCATTAAGATGCCAGAGATTACAGTGAGTAATTACTTGTTATGATACATATGTGTATATATTTTATATCTCAGCTCCATCCCTGCCTCCCTGTTCCCATCTTTCTTCCCCATTATCCCGATTTGCTAAATCCAATTTTTCCAACTCAGCAGAGGATACATACGTTTATTTTCTAAGATAAATATTTAAAATATCTCAGCTCCATAAAATATTAAGTTGTATTGTTTTGAGCTCTACAAGAAAAATTCTATGAGTATGTATATATGAAGGAAGAGGACGGGATGGAGGTTAGAACTGGAAGAACTGCTATGTAGCTGAGATGAATAATAAAAGTGGGATAAAACAGAGTTAAGATTTGGAAATAAGTCTGAATATTTTAAGGATTTGTGGCATCGTTAAAAAGTCAGTATGAAAAGCCATCTCCTCAAAGAATGGAATTATCACATGTGTGAAAACTTTTATGGGATACACATTTTATGTTATTATAAAGATATGTTTGCAAAAAATCAGTATCTTTTCCTAAATGCTTCCAGCTTGTTTCATTTCTAAAATGAAATTCAAATTTAAAAAATGGTCTTCTCATACTTTTTTGTATAATGGTCTCAGTGAAGGCTGAGATGAATTTTGAAAACCCTTAAATAAAGGAAAGTGAGCAGAAATACTCTCTTCCATATTTTCTTTCATGTACTTTTTATAATGTCATGGCTAATTTGAAGCAAACATTTTCTTATTAATAAAAGTTTATGCTTTAGTTTGAAAGCTACCAGTGTAATATTTTCTTAAAAAGCTAATTAAGACATACATTTATACATAAAATTTGACAAAAATTGAAATTTTGAAATTTATTTTATTCAGTTATATATCCAAACTAACACCAAAATATTGTATGGACCTTTTTTGATGACTACACTTACGATTCTACATTGTGACCATATTCACTATACATAAGTGTTTATGTCTGTAGTGAACAAATAATGCTTATGTCATAGAACTATGTTGAATTACCATATTAGTAAATAAATTTGAGCACAAATTGAACTATATGTAAAGTTATTTGATGTCTAAGGGAAATTATAAAATTTTAGAATTGTTCCTGCAGAATCTTTGAATAAGACATAAACAGAAAATATATTGTACTTACTTCTAAAAGTGCATCTCTAAAAAAGAGAAATAATAAATTATGAAAAGTACATTTCTCTTGGCATGCATATGTTTCTATTTTGTGTTAGAGATTGTATATTTGGTGGAGCAATTCAGAATGCTTATTCCTTAAAAAAGCATCTAACTATAAAAGAAGTTAAGCAAACCATTCATTAGAATATGGATAACCAAGAGGGACTCTTTGGAAAAACACTCACTTTTCTATCACTCAAGGTTTCCAGTAGAAGATTTCCTTGTGCTCAAAAACATACCATTAAATTGGATGCAAGTAACATGTAAATAGGTCAAGCAGATGAGACATATGTAATGAAGAAAATTTAGCAGATTCTCATTTCATATATCAAAATTTCATAATATTCTTTATCTCATTTTTAATATTTATGAAGCATTCTTCTGTAGTTTATGTTCTGCTACATGTGAGAAAAGATTCTCTCCCTGTTGTATTTATTTTACTTGGAAATTCTTTGAGAAAGGATGAATCTTATCTGTTTATTTTTTCTAAATAAATTATGAAAAAAAAAGAAAGTGGAGAAAACTTTAGGAGTCAACCATCCCATTGTGGTTTATAGTTCTAAAGTCAAAGATGATAAATTTGAAATTAAGGGACAATAATCTGCAGAATTTCCATGGAGCAGAAAGTTTTCTGAGACTGTCTTTAGATTGAATCCAACTTCAATGCCATCATGGTACAGTCGTCCACCCTTACCACAGTTTCACTTCCTACCATCTGTGTTGGTCCAAAAAATGTTAAATGAAAAATTACAGAAATAACTCATAAGACACCCAAAGTATAAATTAAGAGCAAAACAAAAGAGTAGGAAGTAGGGAGATTATTTTGCAAATGGGAAGGGAATCAAGAGATTGTGAGGGGATGAAAGAGGAATTGAGATGTGTTATGTAAGCATATCAACTTTCCAGAAGGAATGCAATCATTGTGTACTGCAAACATGTACTGATAAAAAAGAAAAAAAGATAAAAGTTTTAAATTGAGTGATTTTTCTGAGTAGCATGATAAAATCTCATTCCATCCACTTTGTCCTGCCCAGGACTTGAATCCCCCTGTCCTAACTATTCATGCCTGTACCTACCAAGGGTCCATTAGTTGGTAGTATTCTAGTATCTGAGTGACTGTCATAGTACCAATAGTGTGTGTGGTCAGATAATTTGCATTTTACTTCATAATGGTTCCAAAGCACAGAAGTAATGATGCTGAGAAGTAATGATAGTAACCAGATATGCCAAAGAGTAACCCTAAGTTGCTCCCTTTAAATCAAAAGATGAAAGAATAATAAAAATATTTTTAGAAGGGAGCATATTTACATAACTTTTACTATGATACATTGTTATTCCATTCATTATGAATTATAGTTAATCCTGACTGTGCCTAATTTGTAAATTAAGCTTTATCATAGGTGCATGTACAGGAAAAAACTCAGTGTGTGTTTAAAGTTCAGAGCTATTTGTGGTCTTAGGCGTGTGCTGGGGCCTGTCCCATTTCCTTATCCCGTCAGGAAGAGCGTCCCCTTCCCCACATTAGTTTTATTTGTTCTCACCATGAAGCGTCCATCTTGGTGTGCTCCTGCTGCCCATGGCGTGTCCTGGGGAATACATTTTCTACATGTCTTATTTGGAATTTGAAACAGATTTAGAAACAATGTTAACGCTGTAAAGTGATAGCATTAAATAAATGTTGAATAATATATGTGTAACATAATGTGATTTTAATCTTGTGCTCATAAGTAAATATCTAAAGCATTCATAGTAACAACAAGAGTAGAGATAAGGCAGGAGAAAATTGGGTAAATTTATTTATTTCATTTTTCAATTGTGTGAGTGAGTTGTTTATATCACACATGATTTCATTATCATAAAGAACAGAATCATAAAAATCAAGAAAAATATGTTCAAGAAACTTTATGATCTTGTTTCAAGGAGATGTAAGTATATGTGTATAGTCTGGCTACTTTTCAGTTGCTTTAAAACCCATGATCCACAGTTTCCAACATCCCTTGGGTGGGGACAGGGATGGGGTGGAGATGTTTTGGTTTGCAGTCTGCTTGGTATCTGGATTTTTCTAACACATCCAGACAAGCTTTCCAAATCAGTTCACATTCCTGTATCGAATCACTATCACTTATTTTCTCTATTAAAACCTCTCTGCTAAGTCCATAAATCCTAGGCAGGAATTTTCCTCCATAGTGTGACACATTTTAGTTTCTAACTATCCAGAAATAAACAGTTTTAAATGTTACATCCTTGGATTAATAAAATCTTTTAAGTTATCACAATAAATAATTTTTAAAAATTCTACATTTGATGTGCAAGTAATACACCATAATAAAAACAGAACAGCACAATGAAAGAGGAAAAGCTAAGAATAACGAGGTTGGTCTTACATTTTCCATTATAAAGGAGCACTTCTCTTAAATTAACGTCAGCCAACAAAGACCTATGAGTGTGTCTTGGCTTGTTCAAACCATACAATGGTAGTAAACAGAGAAAGTGATCACAATGCTAGTTCCTAAAGTCTATCTAATGAATTCTATTTTAACCTGAAGGCCAAACAACCTCATAGCACGATTCCAATGGCAGGGACAGCACTTAATGCTCCTAACTATGGGTTTGGAGAGCAGTCTGTAATTAAGGGTCAGGTGCTTGAGAATCACTGATAAATTTAAACAACCCCCTCATTCAGAACATGGTGGTATGGAAGCCATTTGAACAAATAACCACTAACTGCCCTTAACAATGTGCAAGTATATAATTTATACTGTTTTCCTCTGGACCTGCTCAACCAAAGCACTCATTTCCTGTCCAGTAATGGCATTTGGTGTGAGGTCTAGGACATTTTTGGATCATATCCTGCCATCAATATTGAACATGTTGGCTAGTGTTTCATATCCAAACCCATCCTGTGCTGAAGGAGAAAGGCAAATCAAAACTCTGCTTTTGTGGATAAATTCTTCATTTCCAGCTTTAAGTATAGCTACATAAAATGACTTTTGAAACTTGTAGGGAATAGATAAGTAGTTAAGTGAATAGACATTTTCATCTTGCCTAATAAAGTGCTTTCTTTCTCTGTTGCTTTTGCTCTTTCTCTCTTCTAGCAAAAAAGATTTAGCTAAGTGTTTCCTTCTCTTTGTAATACCAACATTCATTCCACATAGAAAAATACTTTCTTTTAGTCACTTTTTTACATTTCTTTCACTTATAAATTATTCTTTTTCATTTTTGTTATCTTTTACAAAAAGAATTTCCAGTAAAACTTTACAAGGCTGTATTTGTGGGAAATTTGTAAATTAAAGCATTATGTACTGCATACACACTAGAGGCAGGCAGTGCCATTCTTAGAATACTAAAGAGTGGCTGGCTGTCACACTGAGGAAAACTAGTTTATCCTATAAAAGTTGGGCTGTCGATTTCCTTACAAGACTGAAACTCAAAGAAGAAAAATAAAGTGGCAGGTGTGAGTTGGATCTACCAGTGAGCTGATTTAAAGAAAAGAATAGAACAGGAAAATTAAGAATAAATTGAATTTTTAACATTTAAAAATAAAGACCAACAATTAGACTATTAAATAAAAAAGCAACAGCAGTATTGAAAATTTTCCACTTCCTCACTTTCATGCTTGTCTCTAGAGAAACATTAGCTCCCAACTTGATAAAGACATGATTCCTAGATTTAAGGGATATTTATGTTTTTAATCAGCTTAAAGCTTCAGATTTACCACACCCTGGGAAGAAAAAGTTGTTCCTAATTTTCCCATCACCCTGAAAGCACTAGGATGATGCATGATTTTGGTGGAAGCATCACCTGCTGGTTTAAATACAATTTTGGTAAACCGCTCCCATGAGTATGGATCTAACTAGTTAATTAGCAAATGAAGTCACATTGTTTGTTTTGGTTTTCACGTCATTTCACCAGAAATGCCACTGCTCTTAGTTAATTAGTATTTTCTTCCTATTTTCCTTTTCCAACTACAGAGATATTACTGGTCATAATAAGAGTTACATTTTTATGTTAATATATTAAGTAGATGAAGAAGAAAATGCAACAAATAAAACATGCGGACAAAACCACAGGCTAAGATTAAGGAATTGTATGAAATATGTGTGTAAAATCATATTGTGTACCATACACATCATACATTAAAATTCACAAAAAAGGCTAAGTATATAATCTCCATTTCTGAAGTCATTACATTTCTGTCACTTCCTCAACACACTTATTGTCATAATAGAATATTTTATCCAGAGACGCAAATATATAACCTTATAAAAGGAAAGCTGAAATGTAAGTGGTATGCAATTTGTTTCTATCTACCGAAATATAGCAGGAGCAGATTTCATTATAGAAGGGAAAAATAAGTTACAAATGAAAGATTCCAAAAAACATACTCCTAACATCTATTATTTAAGAGAGTACGATGTATGTCGGTAGCTTTCAGTGCCCTTGGGACTCGAATCTGGACGCCAGCTCTGCCCAGCAGCTGTAAGTACAGGCAAAGGGGGCCCAGGCCAGACAGAAACAAGCCCACCATGGCAGGGGGCTCCCAGCAACAGCAGCTCACTGCCCTGAACTTTACCGCACAGGACTTTTCACCCGCGTTTCAAGTGTGCTTCCAGTAAAAGGTGAAGTCATTGTGGTTTCTCAGTTTCCCACCAGCTGACATCTGCCCGCGTCGGTGTCGGTGGAAAGCAGCAACTGGAGAAGCACACCTCGGTGATGGCGTGTGGCTTGCACCTGGGCCCCTCACCGGGGCGGCTCCGGGACATGCACAGGAGGAGCAGGCACCCACCCGGGACACGTTTAAGAGGGGCGAGGGCTGTGGACGCCTGCTCGGTCACAGTGGCAGTCGGTGTTCCAGGCTCCTGTCCACGGGACTCCGCCCCGCGTGTCCCCCAGACTCGCGTGTTAGTCACCGCCGGATGGTGCTGGAGGCGAGGCCTTCGGGCGGTGGAGCTTGCGGAACAGGGTTCGCCAGCATTGAGCGGGCCCTGCAGAGCAGCCCACCCACCCGGGAGAGGGCAGCGGGAGAGGCCTGGCAGGGAGGACGCCCCTGACTTGACCCGGCTCCAAGACAAGAAGGAAGGGCTCTCTGTCGTTCAAGAGCTGCCCAGGACATGGTGTCTTGTCAGGGCAGCGTGCGTGGCATAGGACACGTTCCTACTACGCGTTATTCAAGAGGCTTTCTTCTCACCGAAGGTGGGCTAGGCCTCTCCGGCTTGTCTCTGGGCCGCAGGGCATAAACCCCGCCGCACAGGCGCCCAGACTGCCCCGGGCTCAGCCGCAGCACTTGGCATCATGGGGAGGGGACCAGACGGTCGTCTTTCTCTTTTGGTACCGGCGATAGAACTCAGGACCTTGCACATGCGAAGCAGGAGCAGCACCACTGAGCTACATCCCCGGCCGAGGTGGTCGTTTCTTCAAGTAGTGAAGCACACGCACTGCAACTTTCACTGATTTACAGTTCTTGTCTGAATTCTAATACCTGGAAATCAAAACATTTTACCTATAGCGATTTTTGAAAAGTAACTGGTCATATATAGATACAATATTGAAACAAATACAAAATTTTATGTGTAAAATAAATCTAGTGTGAACGTTTCCTGTGGTTTTAGAAATAAAAACATTCAAAATACTGGATATTTAAGTAATTGCATGTTAATTTGTCCATAATTAGGAAAATAAATCTTAATTTGTCTTACTCTTAAGTGAAGTAGTACTCAAAAGATCCTCATATTTCCTGAATTTAATGTCAGGCCAGTTCAAGTTCAAGTCAAAATTAGAACGGGGCAAATAAGCAGGCCCAGACTTAGTGTGTGATGATTCGAAACATAATGCTCCAGCGTGTCTTAGAGCTTTCCTCACACGGAGAGAATTCTTCCCGCTTCTGTACTCTGGCTGAATACTGTTTTCTGTATTCCTTCTTTGCAAAATGTGTGGAAGGTTATTTCTTCATCAACACAGTGGATTGAACATGAATGCTTATCTTCTTTGTCTCCTGTTCTACCATCAAAAGATAATAAATTACGAAGAAGAAACTGGCCATTGAGAACAACAGAACTGTAGATCATGATCGCATAACTTTTAAGAGATTTCAGGAAAGTGGAAAATTAACGCAAGAGCTGGATTTGCCTGCTGGGAGCAAAGGACGACACAAATCTCAGGGCTTCCGAGCTGGCACCTACTGAGCGGAGCAGGGCCAGCTTGCCTGGAGGCGCCTGCAGGGCCTGCGCTGGGAGGAAGATTCTAGGGGGGGAAGTGAGGTCAGCAGACTGCTCTACCGCCTCCACTCCCCTCGCCCTGGCAGGCGAGCTGCTCCCACCCACGGTGACCTCCCCACAGGCCCGCAGCGCCAGACAGTTGTTCTCTGAAGATCTGGGACACAGATGCAGCCGAAGGCCGGGTGAGGCCGGGGCTGACAGCCGGAGGATTAGGGAAGCTTGAAGCCTGCCTAATGAGAATCTCCAGTCCCTCTCGGCCTAGTTCCCAGGGCCGCGAGCAGGAGTCCAGCCATGGGGCGAGGCAGTCGCAGAGGCTGCTCCAGAGAACCCAGCTCCTCAGAGACGGCCTCCGGGAGGGCGGATGCTGGGCTGGCCCCGGAGTGCAGCTCTGCTCTGCCGGACACTGTACCAGGAGCACATGCACCAGCAGCTTCCAGATGCTCATGGGAAGCTCCAAGCAAGGAGATCAAAGGACAAAGTAGAGACAGGGAGACAGGGAAAGGGAGGAGGGACGATGGAGGCAGAGGCAGAGATGGAGAGAGGGGGACAGAGAGTCAGAGACACAAAGAGACAGAAAATAGGAGACATATAAACAGAGACCTTAGAGAAACAATATTATAAAAATTAAATGATTTCAAAAATAAACTGATAAGAGATAAAGTTGTACTAACAGGAGAAAATAAAGCAGTCTATAAGATAAAGCATTCCCCCCCAATTTTTAGAAATTAAAAATACGAAATGCAAAATTAGGAAGAAATTGATAAAGACCCGGAAGGTAAGTTAGAAGAAATGTTCCAAGAAGTAAACAAAATGACATGAAGATGATCAGGAAATAATCCATTAAGAAAACTTTAGAAGACTGAACCATGTGGCTCAATATTTAGATCTAGAAAAAAATGACACCAAAGAAACAGCAAAATGACCTACTGCCAGGAGAATGGGCCAGGGGTTGTCACAGAAACCTCTGGATGTTGGGCCTGGGGGGAAACTGTCTAACTTAGGGTAGGAGAAAGTAGGGGCTATGCAGGGTAAAGGAAAGGTAAGTTGGTCTGCAAGTCTCATAAGTAAACATTGGAGAAGCCATCGCAAGAAATACGGTGGGTATTGGAGTGCATGAGAGGAAGGCACTTGCACCTAGAAAACCAAGTAAATAAAGAAAAAAGTGAGCAAAGTAGAATAGTCACAGGAGAAGTGGAATAACTCATGGCACACTACTTGTCTCTACAGTCAACAATAGTAGTCTTTCAAATTTCAAACAAAATAGACAAAATAGAGGGAAAATAGCAGGAGATGGTAAGTGTTGTGACTTTTAAAATGCGATATACCATAATAAGAAGTCAATGAATCCAGTTTAGGGTTAGTGAATCCACCCCCCACCCCACCCCCACACGCTGTGAGAGTTAAAAGAGTAGGAAGGCAGATGTCGAGCTGAACAGGCATCTTCCCAAGGCCCAGGGGAGGCTGCGCTGCTGTCCTCAACCATGGACCTTCTCCGAGGCAGACTGCTGGCCAGCGGGAATCTGGTGTCCTGCTTTTGTTTGGAGCCATTCTTAAGGAGAAGTTATTCTCAGAGCAAGATATGCTCTGTAGTAGCTGCTCCCTCACTTCAAATCAAAATACACTTCCTGAAATTTCCACACTCCTACTGTTAAAAAAGAACCAGACAATGCCCTCCACAGATTTGACTCCAGCATATGTGTGGGTTTGTCTTGCTCATCATAAACTGAACAAAATCTACACAATCACAAATGAAACTTTAGAAGTCATGTTGCCTCTATGAGAGCTCCCTTCTGTCTGCTTTCATGGAAATGTTGCATATTTCTATTCTGATACTTATCACATTGGTTATATTGATTGTGGTAGGAACTCTACTCACCTTTGTATTTTCAAAATCTGTAACAATGATTAACAACAATAAGAATTTGTAAGTAAATGTATGAGAAATGAGATACACTACTTTTAGATAAGTCATATAAAAGGCTTTGTAAATATCAACTATGTTAAATAACTATAAATCTAATTTACATATACAAGTAAAATTTATTGGACTACATATAAAAATCAGATTCTAATCTTGTAATGTCTTTCACTGGTTAGTCAATTAAAATGTTTTCTTTATTATAAACTTCATCTCATAGTTGAGGATAATGTGTACACTACAAAATACATATGAGAATAAAGGTCTAATGATAAGGATGGAACTATAATTCAAATATATATTATATGGAAATGCAAAATTTAGCTTTTCCATTACCATCAAAGTTTGTTTAATAGATATATACTTGTTCAGTAAATGAGTATGACAATGAACACAAAATCTATGAAAAAACATAAATAAAGGAAGACCTTAATATTACTTTGGCATAGAGAATTATACCGGCAAAGTAAAACATACTTTAGAATTATTAGTCTTAGAAAAAAAATGAATAAAATGATTACCTTTTTAGGCCTATTATAAATGTCAAATAAATTTATTATTCAGTAAATTATTAAGTTATCAAAATTACATAATTTAGATAAGCAGTTGATTGCATATCACAAAACATATGTACTAATCTACATATGTATTAATGTACATATGTATTAAAATATTTTGTTTAGTTTGTTTCAATGTGAAATATTTATATATATCACATATTGATATATAAAGGCATATATATCTACTTGTATATTATATCATACAGTAATTATTATTGTCAATACATGGAATGCTTTTGGCTTCCAATATTTTCTGTGAGCAGAAAATTGGTATTGAGACATTACAGTAATATGTTATATTGTTATTCTGAAGTATTCATCAATATATAAGTACTGCGCACTAACCGATTGCGTCACTGGAGCTCCAGTATTCATCAATATAATAGAACCAAGTTTACTAAAATCTGCTAAATTTTAGTGGTTGAAATTTAAATTAAATTCTTTATTTATTGCATCAAAAATTTGCAGTTGTATGTCACTTAATTGATAATAAAAATTTTAGAATGACATACAATATATAGCACCAGATATTTTAAGTTCAGAAAGACTTATCATTTATTTTAAAATACACTTGAGCTGTGCACCTAGAGATGAAGAGCAGAATACATTTATCTTTAATGTGAATGAAAGTGTTAGCACATCATATTTTAAGGACACTCAAAGAGAAATGTAATAGAAGTGATGTTCCCTTGGTTAAATATATATATTTTTCTCACGAGTTAATAAATATCTTTGACCTAAGAGAAATATCAACTCCATCTTAAAGTTGAGAATATATTCATTAAATTTTTTGAACCTCATGACTAATATGAAGTATATTATTTTCTTATCATCAAACTTTTTTTCTATAGGATTTAATTTTCTCTATGGGAAAGTAAGGCACAGAGGAGTGCAGGAAAAAGGTCGCACGGTTAAGAAAACTTTATTTCCCATGGTCACTGTTCCTCACGGTGGTGTACAGTTTTCTCATGTAGCAGATAGTCAAATGAATGTGAACAGATGGGACCATGTGCCAAGAAAGCACAACTCCACAAACCCTGCATGTTTGCCGTGGTGTTCTCTTCGACTTCTAACCAGCCTGTGCATGTTGGGTTTGTAACTGAAGCTCAGATAAAGATAATCTTAGTTGGCTCTTCAAACGTCAAAAAGCATCCATGCAGTATCTTTAAACATTCTGAAACTACATGATAGTACTAATAAAATACAACTATTTTGGCTGGCAAAGTCCCCGTGCAAGCTGAAACCTTGAAAAATGATCTTTAAAACTCAATAGGAAAAATTAAAAATTTTCCACAATCTTACAAATATTTGTAAAAAAGTATAAAAACATTAAAAATTCTCTTACTGCAATTTATATGTGGGGCAATAATAATACAAATAGCATTCATTTAGTATAGTTCAGAACACAAGAAATAATAAGTAAAACGCTCTCTTTCTCTGTAAATACCCGAGAGTGTGCGAAGTGTTGCCTGCCTGCTCATCAGACAGTTTATATTACAGATTGAGCGCTCTGTTTCTGTTGGGAACTGTCACTTCCTTTTCAGTTTGGATCTGTCCCCAGCACTTTTCCTTCGCCCTTCCAACATCAGGAAGGTTCTCCTGAGAGCTCCTTTCATGTGAGGCTGTTCCAGCATCCCTTCCTGCGGGATGTCATCATCTTTTATACCAACACTTTCCTCATTTATGTTGATGAATTCACCTTCACTGAAGACTTCTGGCTCTGCATCTGCAGTCTCAGATGTCAAATGTCAACATTCCCACTGTCAGCTATTTCGCCTGGTACCGTTTGTATTTATCTCTAATTTCCTTCCACTATCATGACTTCTTTGTTTCCGTCGTGCACTGGTCTTTGCTGTCACCGTTCCTGCTCTGCCTCTGCCCTGGGTTTTCACTCAGGTGGGATGGTGCCACACTTGGCAGTCTGAGAGGGAATGGGATGACTGGTGCATGAAGGGCAAACCCTGGCCAACTTGGAAAACAGTGACACGCTTGGTCACTGATCAATGCAGGGCATCTGAAGTGAGTTTTGGACTGAAGAGGCAGCATCCACGTCTGTACTTTGTGCAGTTGTTCCCGGTTAGCACGCTGTGGTAACTAAAATTTGCACTTGCTCCAGAGGGGTTGGTGCACAAGAGCAATGTATTCTAATTCCTCTCATCAGAATACAAAAAATATACTCACCTTAGCAAATCAGAGCTTAATGTTTTAAAAGTTTCAGTTTTGGGGCTGGGGATTTAGCTCAGTGGTTCCGGAGCCTGCCTCGCAAGTGCAAGGTTCCAAGTTTGATCCTCGGTACCAAAAAAAACTTTCAGTTTTAAATCAGAGTTGTTCTTATAGAATTGCTACTTCCCAACTCTTAGGGATAATTCTTCCCTCTAAATGAAAGGCAATTGTTCAATGTGAAGTTAGACCTTCAATTCTTTCTTTAGAGCAGGTGGGAAGTGGTCTTCGTTGGGGTATGGGTCTGGTTCAAGTTGTGCTGTACAAATAGGTTTAAAGGGAGAGGCTGAGTTTGTGCAGGAGAATCGGAATGATGCTGATGAGTTCAGCCACAGGAATGACAGGAGGTGCTGGCAGCGATTAATTTAGACTGCTGCACTGGCATTCATTTAATGACTTGCTGGTATCTTCCAAGAGCTCGTTTTGAATGGGAGAACTCTACTTCTGACTTTGCAAGTTCCCATTTCGCAAATACTGGAAGCCACCAGTGGGGTTTAAATGAGGCACTGCGGGTCTGAGCTGCTCAATGATGGGTTGCTGGGGTTCTTTTTGGGAAAATATGTGAAACTGCTCTGTTGGGAATGTGGCTTCTTTTGCACGTAACAGCTCCTTTCAGTGCTAGGGAGGAGGGAATTTCTCTCATCTTCTTTTTCCTTCTTATGCCCACCACCTTGAACACTTTCGTTACATCGGTTACTTCACAGCTGCTCCTTAGGACACATGTTACCCTTTCCTTCCTCAAGAGCCCCTACTGATCACTTATATTTCAGGGTTTAAACTCTTTCCCTCACACACATTTCTCCAAGTTAAGAGTATTTGCAGATAATAATATTTAGATATAATTTTTGGAAACTTTATGTTTGAAACTAAGATCTTTTCTGAGAATCTAGGCCCTTTCTTTGCATCAGAAATATAGGGTTATTTCTTTAAAAAGTCTGAACCAATTGAATTGTTATTTTATTGGGTTTTACTAGCGATTGCTGTCACTATTATCACGTTTTCAAATTCATTCATTCTTTGAGGCAGAGAATAATATGACTGTTCATCATTTTAATACTCAAATCTCTGACAAAAAAGAATGCATATTTTAAAGCTTCCCTAAAATTTCCTCCCTTACTTATAGATAAATTTTGTTTGTGTCTTAGAAAATGTCTAATAATATTTATATATTTGAGACTGAAAAATGAGAAGAAAATTGTTAACATGCCTTTATAAATGTGCAGCCAATGCAGTTAAACAACTTACCGGCATGAGGGAGAATCTCTGCCAGCTGACAGGTTAGGAATCTACCGGAGCACACTCTTCAGAGGATAAAGTGGATTCTTCTGTGATTTTCTAACTTTGTTATAAGGTGTTCTTCAGGATTAGTACTTGTGACAATTTTTCCTCCCCTAAAGATATGAGAAAGCCGAGGAAGTGAGTTCACAGAATATAAATCTGCCCAGTAATCCCTCTTCGATTGCAAGTTTGGAGAAAATGAGTATTCTTAAACTCAAAGCAAACAGAGAGTGTTAATGATTCAAACAAGACTATATTTATTTCAGAAAAACATTACAAAACAATATTACTAATTTCAGAACTGTGTTTTTATACTTCTTAAACACAAGAAATGCCAAGCTATGTAGATATATTTGGAATTTGCTGATTGGACATGCCCAACTTCACAAAGTTGTGAGTGCAAACCCCCAGTACATGATGTGTAAAGAGAACAATCCCACATGATTGAGGTTCTGTTATGCAGCAAAGACGATATTCACACTTATTCTAACTTGTTCTTCTGTGGAACATTCTTTCCAAATGAATTTATAAATGTGTTTATAATTCTTCTGATTAGAGCAACAATATCTTTGTGAAAATGGGAGAACTTAGCTTGGAAAACACATTTCTCAGTCTTCCCTCAAAATACCTTGCAATGAGGATAATGAAGTTGAACTAGTTGAACTGTGATTGGATTCACTTCCATTTGCCACCTAATCATATTGTACTTTATGAAGGAAACAATATAATAACTTGACTGAACATTTTGTACTGACACAGTAAAATATGCTCTCTACTACGTGTGATCTGTACTGAACAAAATATCCTGCATGCTTTTTATTTTAGTAGCAATTATTACATCAGACACCAGGTCACAATGAAAACATTACAAAAGAGCAAGATTTAAATGATTAATGTTATTTCCCTAGCAACAAGATACTAATCTATCAAAACCTATGTGCTAGTTTTGACTTTTTGCACACAAATTTGCAGCAGTCTCCTAGTCTTTTCTAATACAGTAACACAAAGAATAAAATGAATGTATGAAATAAGCTACCTTCTGTACACTTTTCGTCATATTTTCAGCATTTGTTTGAAGGCCTCTTTCTCCTTTTACTTATGTTTCATTCCCCTTTGTTCTTGTTACTTCCTTTGTCCTCGTTATTCACTTCACTATTGAGAATATTCTGTGTTTGAAGGGTAGCTTTTTAAAGAATATACTATTATTTTGTTTCACACACTTTAAGGCATGTACTTGATATGCACTAGTTCTCTATATTCATATTCCAGTGATTCTAACTGCTAGCTAACATAGTGAATGCCTCAATTTTACTTAGTCATATGTTCACTGAAGACACCCTAATTTACTTCCATCTCTGCTACATTAATATTGCAATAATAAATATTTTCCCTGTGTGTCTCTTTTACAAACCTGTATGACAGTTTCTCTAGGATATCATCACAGTAGCAGTATACAGACTGTATAGCTGTGGATTCCAAATTTGACCAACTCTACTAAGTTGCACTTCACAATGGCTGTATCAACCTACATTTCAAGTGCACATCCTTCAGGGATGTTAAACTTTTCATTTTTCTTTTTGGAAAATTAACACTTTCTCATTTGGTTAATACAGTTGCTGTCACATTTTTGTTGATTTGTGAATTCTTGATAAAAAGTTCCTTGTCAGTTTCAATGTGGCAAATTTCTTCTCTGTTATCTGTTATTTCTATGTTAATTCTACTTGTGTCGTCTTGTCAGAAATCTCCATTTTTAAATTGAATTCATCACAACTTTTGCCTTAAAGCTTTTTCTTTGTTTTCTTTTTTATAATAGGACATTCTAAATCATGTAAAATAAGGTACCTGGATCATTGTTATGATTTTACAAGTACCATGCAGCATTTGTTTTGTTTATATTTTCTGCAGCAACATGTACAAAGTGATAATTAACTGCTTGTTGAACATTTGTTAAAACACACCCTAAGCAATCCAAAGCTGTTTTAATACTATGGCATCTCCCAGGCTGTATCATCTCAAACTGATTCTGCACTAACACATGATAAAATTCATTAAAATACTTACTTAAAATACTAGGAAGTGAACTGTCAACTTCATTCTTAGTGGCAGAATGTTGTCGAGGGTCTGAGGTGGTTCCGCACAGTTCCTCCCTTTTCTGTACACGTTATATTGTTCATAGAAACAAAGCTTCACTGCCATTCCCTTGAAGCTCTGATGCTTTTGTCTCTGACTTTGAATACAGCCAGTGATGACTTGGGACTTCTGCACACAGCACCTAAGAAGCTGAGTAGCTTTCACTTCTGTACTCTTAAAATGTTCTTTCGGAAATCAAAAACTACTATGCTATGAGACAGACCCAAAACTCATACAAGCAGAGGAAAGGAAGGAAAAGAGATCCAGCTGATCTCTTAACTGGTAATCAGAAGATTTTGTTAGCCGCTGAATGTGATCATTGAAGGACTTTCAGCCATCCAGAATTGCAGTAGGCTCCATTCCAAACAAAAGAATTGTCTAGTCAGTTTCAATAACTGAAAAATTTTAAGTTAAGTTGTTCTAAGGTCCCAAGATGTTGAAATTCACTAGCACGGAGGACAGCGATCTGCCTTCTGCCCCCATCTACCAACATGAGTGAGGATGTGCCTCTCCTTGGTTGGTTGCCACAGCCTGTGCTGTGTGGACAGAGGGGCCTCCAGAGCAGGTGGTGCACCTTACAAACCTCAGCCTGGAAAGCCAGTGATGTCAGGACTTAACATAAAAACTTCCAACCCAGACTGATACATCTTGAAAAACTATTTTCAAAATTGATAGAGAAAAATATCTTTTTATGACAAAAATTAAGAGATTTGTGACCACCGAACCAGCACTCCAAAATATGTTCAGGGATATCCTAGAAAGATGCAATAAAGCCAACAACAACAACAACAACAACAACTGTCTAATAGAATGAAAACAACAGACAGGGTGAGGGTGAGCAGTTAAGCAGAAGGAGGGAAAAGAGGAATTAGCAACAGCAAAATAATGCAATGGTGGGGATAAGAAATACCTTCCAGTAATAACTCTCAATATGAATGGTCTCAATTCCCCAATCAAAGGACACAGATTGGCAGAATGGATCAAGAAACAAATGCAATATCATGATGTATACAAGAAACATGTTTAATCCAAAAAGAAATTCATAGGCTAAAAATTTAAGAATGAAAAAAAATTTCAGGCAATGGGAACCCAAAACCATGCAGGAGTAGCTATCCTATTTTAGACAAAGTGGGCTTCAACAAAATTGATCAGAAAAAGATCAGTTTTCTGACCAGAAACTGAAAATAAAATTTAAAAAATGTCAGTACATATTGGGCAAGAGAGTAATTCAACTGGAAGAGATAACAGTCATAAACATACATGCACTGAACACTGGTAGACCCTACTTCATGAAACAAACATTACTGGACATAAAATATTGGATAAACTTCAGCACAAGTATAGTGAAGGACCTTACTACTCCACTGCTACAAATAGATGATCAATTAGACAAAATATCATCAAAGAAACATCAGAACTGTTCCAAACCTTCCAACAAATGGACTTACTAGATATTACAGAGCGTTCCACCCACAGCAGAATACACACTCTTCTCAGTAGCATAAGGGACTTCCTCCAATATGGTCAGATACTGGACCATAAAGTACGCTTAAATAAATACAAAAGTATCAAAATTATTTCATGTATCATTATCAGATCATAGTGCTATGGACTAGAAATTAATGGCAAAAGAAACCACAGAAATTATGAAAATGCATGGTAATTAAACAATACATTCTCAAATAATCAATAGTGTAGAGAAGATATCAAAAAATAATTTAGACAGTTCTAAAAATCAAAGGAAGATGCCAGTACAACATATGAGAATCAAGGGACACAAGGAAAGCAGTCCTCAGAGGAAAGTTTATAGTTGTGAATGCCTATAGCAGAAAAACAGTGAGTTCAAATAAATAACCTAACAGTGCATCCAAGGTCCTAGGAAAACAAGAACGATCCAAAGCTTGTACAAAGAAGAAAATTATAAAGATCAAAGCAGAAATTAGTGAAATTGAGTTGAAAATATAAATAATGAATCAAAGTGGTGTTTCTTTGTAAAAATAAAGAAAATAGACAATTCTTTAGCTAATCTTACCCAAAAAAGGAAAGAACAAAATCAGGCAATTAGAAATCAAAAGGCAAAATCACAATGGATATTGCTGAACTCCATAAGATTATTAGTAACTTCTTTGAGAATCTGTACTTCAGTAAATTTGAGAATCCAGAAGAAATGATTGAATTCTTAGATAAATATAAATTACCAAAACTGAAAAAGGAAGACATGAAAAGCCTGGATAATTTGAGAAAGGCAATTAAATTGAAGCAGTAATTAAGAACCTACCAACCAGAAAAGCCCAGGACCCTATGGATTCACCTTCATTTTTACCACTTTTACAGGCAGTTTGGAAATTTGTTTTCCGAGTATCTTTAATTGCTCTGTGATGCTCGCTTTGATGTCCTGAATTAACTCAGAACATTTACCTTTCATGGTCATTTTGACATTGCAGAAGAATCAGAAGTCATACAGTGCCAGACCCCATAAATAAAGCAGAGGAGGACATACTGCAGTTTTTGTATTAACCTGTCTTTCAGTTGGATGGCACTCACCACCAGCATTCACCATAATTTTGGTCACACCTCATAAAGACACTCAGGAGAGAGGAATTCCAGAACTGCTTCAGAAAACGACAAGAATGATGGGATAAGTGTGTTCACTTATAAGAAAGAGGGAACATTTTTACAGGGGGTTAATGGCAATTTGTCTCTTATTGCAATAAATTTTAAAAATGCAGTTATTCACCATGTAATCTGATAACACTTTGAAATAATGACACATCAAGAAATACTCTAATAGTAAATGATCAACAATCATAAACAAAGATTAGTGTTCATAAAGATGCTCTATAAAAGTTAAATGCTTAGTTTTAAGAATAATTAAGGAATTTTTGGAAAAGTTTTCAATTTTAGAATAATTTTAAATATACATAAAATTTGGACCCTGTACTCCATCTCCTCCAGTGTCAATATCTTATATTACTATGGTATATTTGTCACAACTAATGATCAATAAATTAAATTCTATGCCTTTCAGATTTTCTTAGTCTTAATTTAATTTATGGAAGGAAATATTAATAGCCATGAGGGTAGTTTTGAAGAGTTTTGCATAACATAGTAACACGGTTGTGTTGTAGTATTGAGGGACAATGTGCTCTTTTGCTTTTCCTCTTCACTGAATTGAAATATCTGTATACAAATATGCACACTAATCTTCTGAATGAGATAAAGACACAGAGCTCTATTTAAGCCATTTAAGTAGAAATGTCTTTATAATTGAAATTGAAAAATAAACTTAGATACAAATATTTTAGCAATATATCAACAGCCTGTTGGCAAAGAAAATATTTAGTCATATAATATATATTTTCCTGACCAAACGATACTAATGTAAAATTCTGTAGTAGACTTGGCCTGGTGCGAGCCCCTACAGCGTGCAGCCACACCAGCGAGGAGCGTGCAGCTGAGTTAAGGACACCCATCAAATGCAGGAGGAAAGGAGACAGACGCTGTGCTGGAGAGTGGGGGATGTTCAGAGCTGTGCGGTGTGGTTCCCAGAGGTTACCTACAAGGGGGTGTGCACCTCTTGGCCCGGGATTGTGACTCTTGGGCTGGTGACTTATACAAACACGTGGCATTCTGCAGCACTCTCCCC